GAGGAAGGCAGAATCTCCAGAGAGTAGTATCCAGTCTGCCTAGGCGGAGCTGAAGAAATGAAGTACAGATGGGTCTCTTGTGATACAATAGTGAATAATTGTTATCAGGACTGATTGTGAAGGTTGGAAATATAAAGGTAGACATTTTATAGCAAGGAAGGGAGGGAATACCTTTTCAATCTAGGAGCGGAGGTCCTAGGACCATCAACAGAGAAGAGCCGAGAGTGGAATCCTACCCAGAGAAGCAGTGATGTCTGAAATGGAGGCTGGAGGCAGAGACAATGACGTGGAGCGATGGAGCAGCTGGGGACTTTAGATCCAGAGAGAGGGAGAGGGGCTGTGTGCTAAAGACTGGGGGTAGGGTGGGGGGTGGGTGCGGGGATAGTGTAGGGGGCAGGCTTGCAGGGTATACCCTTTGGTCGGTTGATGATGCATGGAGGGGATTGTAACCATGGCAATGATATGATGTATGATGGAATGAATGTAGAACTAATGTTCTCCCATGTAAACTATCATATAATTCACAATAAAACACGTAAAAAAAAAAAGAATATTGGGTTGTGTTTAAATTTGATATGCCAACAGAAAGAAAAATGGCTCTTGTTTAGTAAAGCATTTTGCTTAATTAAGATTAAGTAATGGGTCCATTTGTTACTTTCCATACAAGATTATTTTTTAGACCACTCTGAAAATTTCTTCTAATATTAGAAATTATCTATTGGCCACAGTCATTGAGTTGTGACTCACAGTAACCCTGTAGGACAGAGGAGAACTCCCTAGGATTTTGAAATTGTACATCTTTATGGAAGCAGACTACCTCATTTTTCAGGTGGGTTCAAACCACCAACCTTTTGGTTAGCAGCCGAGCACTTAATCCATTAGCTCCACCTGGGTTCCTGTTAGAAATTTTCTATACTTCACGGGAATCCAACTCAGAAATAGTGATATACCACTATTCCAAAGCAACTCTGGTGTTTATTGGTGAATATATTTTATTTGAAGTGCATAGTGTTTCACACATATTTTATAGGAAGATTATTAACACTTGAGCAGATCCCCTAGGGTTGCCATTTACTGGTCATGTGATCTTGAGATTATGTTTACCTGTGAATCCTGTAAATCTTTGTAGGAGCAGAAAGCCTCATCTGTCTCCCACAGAGAGGCTGATAGTTTAAACTGTGGCCTTGAAGTTAGCAGTCCAGTACTTATCCTACAGCCCTACCAGGGATTGGTTGGGCTGTGCCAGGTGCCCAGTAAATATCAGGTCCCTTCCTCTTTCCTCCTGTTTAAATTTAGTGTAAAGTTTACCTCACTTTAAGGGAAAATCTTTCTCTTTATTTCCTTTACATTTGAGACTAAAAAAACCAAAAATGTTGTCTTTTTGTTTTGTTTTAAAGGTAATAAATTATGCATATTTTACAAGTGTGTGAGTTGATACTCATGACTGTATTTAATCTAAGAATGTTTTTCTTTTGTTTTGTGTTCTTCTGCTTGCCTCATTAGGACATGAAGGATCAGATGTCAACTTCATCTGTGCAGGCACTAGCTGAAAGAAAAAATAGACAGGTAAGAAAACAACGGGGTTTGTACAGTGTCGATTAAAGTTTAGAGATTTGGAATTAAACAGTGTTGACCATCCGTGTATCGTGTTATTCAACAGAAGACTTGTGTTTGCTGACCCTGCCTCGAAGCTGGGATTGGACTTCGAGAAAGTCCTGTCAGCCTGCCCCGTCACCGTCTCCCTCCCTCTCCTTCCTCACACCTGTGATCTTGTCCCCTGCATCCTCTGGAATCACACCCTCTACTTACCCTTCTCAACACTTACCATGGCACTTTGCTCCTGGATTGATTCTGCACCTGTTGGTAATGGTCTGAGTCAGGCTGTCTGTAATTGATGTGTCTTTCTCTGTACTAGACCCCAAGCTTCTTCAGGGTGAGGAGGGATTGTGCTGTGGGCTCTTTGTTTTTTTTTAAATCTGTAGCCAGTCACTCGATGTTTAATAATTAAAATTTAATGTGAAGACTTTTGAGGGACTTTAAACATGCCTGTAAAACCAAATCTCTTTGTCTTAAGTACTTTTTTAAAAAATTAGACGCTTTGATGTGTTGATAAACACCTTTTTTAACCGTTAAAATGTAGTCATTTGAAAAACTGTAATAGTCACCTAGAATTTAGCTTGATTGTAGATTTTATTGGTTAGGTTTAGAATGTTTTGTGGGCTAAACTGTTAGATGATTTTGTGACAGACTGTATTCTATAAATTCTGTAGCTATCGATTTTGCTAAAGAGTATGAATCCTCACAAAGACTTCATGTTAAATGATATTACTTGCTTTAAATGACTTACGTTAACCTCGTGCTCGGCAGATTCTAGAACGGTACTACCCATATATTTAGTATCCTTTTAACTAGTGAAATCAGCTTAACTAACTAGTTATCAGTCATTTATAATATAAAGCCTTATTTTATACCTGGGTATTTGGTGACACACTCAGATTTGAAACCAAGTATCCTAAAAGCTTGAAGATGAGGAGATTTAATTTTCCTTTTTCCCTTCCTTGCATATCATTTTTCCAATCATGGTTCTTTTTTCTTCCTATCTGCCTTCCTTTTTCTTTATTTGAACAGTATGACTACGAAACATCATTAGTTAGCCCATCCCATTAGACTCTCTGGCTCTTTTTTTTTTGATATATCATAAGCCTTTATAATTTTTCCTCTAAATTCTTAGAAACTTACATAATGTCCATGTTCTAGTTATGACACCATTTATAGACATTTAAAATGCATCTTCATTTATAAATATTTTATATTTGGTCCATAGAACAGATAATTTTACTAAACAATACTGTAAGTTTTAAAACAGGCTCTTTATATAGTTTGAATATGTGTGTATTACATTTTTTTTTTTAATATAGAGATAAATTTACTTGGTGTTCTGAGAATAAATCCTTACTGGAAAAATTTTTTAAAAAACATATATGATTTAAAGCATATATGATTATACAATATCTTTTCCCTCTCCCCAGGGCAAATACTTAAAAAAAAAAGTAAAAAAAGTTACACATATTCACAGTTCTCACAGTAGTGGTACAACACTTAATATTGTGCTACAGAAGGTAAATTTGGATCAAAATCAGTTAGGGAATTTCTTCTTGCCAAACATCTTACTTAGAATTGCTTACAAACATGAAGTGTGTTGTATTTGTCTTAGAACAACTTGATCTCAATTTCACATTTAAGAACAAAAAGAAAGTTAGAAGTCTTCTTGCCCTTATTCTAAATGAATTCACTCACTGGACGGGAGGCGGGCGAGGTTCTTGGGACGCATTCTACGTCCTATGAATTCACAAGACACCCACATTTTGATTATGGATTCACCATTTGGCTCTTAGGGTGCCTTAACAATGAGACTATTTTACAGATGACCTCAGGAAAAGGTTTAGGTTTCCTGTACAATATCAAGGGAGACCCTGTGTGTCACGTGTGAGAATAAATGTGTGTGCATTTATATATGTGTGCATATACTGATTTTTTCTTCTCTACAATAATGTATTTAATATTCTTAATGTTGTAAGAACTGGTATCTGGTCACTTTTGGATGAGAGTGACAAGAAATTAAAAACTCTCAGTCACAGTTATTTACCATAGTTATTAAGGATTATTAGTCATAAAAGACAGTCTGTGAGCTAGCTAGCTATGGAGCTAAGGGGCACAACATACGTTTGCTACGTGGGAACCCATCCTCCTGAATTTCTTACATGAGAAATGCTGAGTTCCTGGAGCTTGCAAGAAACCACCTTCACTTGATTTGCCACCACCACCACCACCAGAGAGCTCAGTTTTGGAAGGGAACCAATACTGCTTTTCAATGAAGCAGCTTTAATCTCGGAAACACACTGGGAGGGGTCTATGAATTAACACTAGCTCCTCAGTTAGTGGGCTGGGCTGATTTTAGAGCCAGTGAGGATAGACTCTCTGGCTCTTGAAAGAAGCTAGGGAATTAGCCCCAAAGCGCCTGGTTTTGGACTTGCCATTGCATTTCCACTTTAGTGGAGAGGAAGTTGAGGGAAGCAGTTGTGACAGTGAGGCAGGTAACACATATCCTCCTCTATTACCCTTAAGTGGAATTCTTTTTATTCTTTAGATAGTACAGTTGACCTAATGTAAATAAAATGGGTATTTATACATTACCTTTTCAAGTATGACTTAGAATTTTATTTTGGGCCATGAGTGACATGTCATGGAGTCCAATTTCCAAGGAATAGCAATGCCAGGGTTCTCCAGACACTCAGGTGGACACCAGGTAGGGTGCAGCTCCCCACGTGGCAGGGCCTCCCACTCTGCCACCTCCACACAGGCACCCTGGGTCCTCTCTCCATCTGCTTTCCCATTAAACCATGCTGCTGGGGTCAGACTTGATAAAGCCTAAGCTAATTCATAGTATGACTGATGGCTCTTGATGCTGTGCTGTACATCCACCTAAGTGTCAGCCGTGGATCACCTAGAAAAATAACCTTGGTTGTGGAGCACACAGGGCCCTCGTGGAGCCCCAGTTTTCTGACCACAGCCCAATAGTGCATCACTGCCTTAGTTATCCTGTGCTGCTATGACAGAAATTCCACACTGTTTAGGAGGATAGAAGTCCACATTCTCAGAGTGCAGCTCTTGGAAAGGCTCTAGAAGATGTTCCTTGTCTTTCATGAGCTTTTGCACCTTGGCAGTCTTCATGTAATTGGCATCTCTTAACTCATCTCTTTTCCTTGTTTAATCCCTTTTTTATCACAAAAGCTACCTTTCTCTAATCCTGTCTCACTAACATAACAAAGATACCCCATTCTCAAAAGCATAGAGGTTAGGCTTTACAACATATATTCTAGGGGCATGATTCAGACCTTTTCTGATCCTGAACAACTTCTCTCTGGGCCACAGGATTCTACATAGAGTGGGATCAAAATGACCAGGATTGTTTAAAGCCCAACAGCCTTAAAACCAGCTATGAGCAGTTGTTGTTAAGTGCTGTTGAGTTGGTTCTGACTAATAATTATCCTATATAGGGCTTCCAAGAAGCAGCTGGTGAGTTTGAACCGCTAACCTTGTGGTTAAAATTGACTATGCAAATCAAGTGCTTATCCTACAATGCCACACCAGGATTTATTTGAAGAAGGTCCAGGAACCTGAGTGCTTCCAGTAGTTCAGCCAAGAAGCTGTGTGGTGACTGTCTTTGGTGGAAAGCAGACCCAAAGCTTTTTGTGGGTGCCTCAGCTCTGAGCACATCAGGGGCACCCACAACAGAGCTATGAGCAGAGGTACTCAGAAGGCAGCACTTTATATTGTGGGTTTCCTGGATCTTAGCCCTGACCTTTGGCCATATTATATTTGAAGAGGTCGGTGTCAGTGTTGAGGCAGCAGAGTGGGGTTGGGGGATTGTTAGTAAGTAGTCAGTTGGGTTTTTGACGTCCCACGATATAAAATATTAGTGAAAGATTTTGGAGCCATGGAAACGAAATTAAATCCCAAAACTATTGCACTGAGATAATATATTAAAACTAAAACTTTGCCCTGAAGTCTTCTTTAAGCCAAACAGTTGTTGTTGTTATATGCCATGGAGTTGATTCCGACTCATAGTGACCCTGCATAGGGTTTCTGAGGCTGTAACTCTTTATGGGAGCAGAAAGCCTCATCTTTCTCCCGCGGAACGGCTGGTAGTTTCTAAATGTTGACTGTAAGATTAGCATCCCAGATTTGTAACCACTACGCTACCAGAGCTCCTTAAACCAAACTTAATTAGTAAAGAATGCCTGCCTTGCCTTGTTCTCTTTTAAAGATCTATCTATATAGGATCAAAGGAACGCTGATAGTGTAGTGCTTATGAGTTGGGCTGTAAACCTCAAGGTCAGCAATTCGAGACTACCAGCTGTTCCGTGGGAGAAAGATGAGGCTTTCTGCTTCCATAAAGATTTACAGCCTCAGCAACCCTGAATATGGACGCTATGAATTGGAACCGACTCCACGGCACATCACAACAACAACAACAGGACCCTTTCTGGGTCCGTTAAATCCTATCACTGGCACCAATCCACTCTGCTACAAGATAGATGCGAAATCTCTATACCACCCAGTGATGCATCTCTTGTTCAGAGGTAACACCTACTTGTTTCTCCTGACTCCAGTTGTCCCTGCTCACACAGGCACTGCTAGGAGAAAGTGGCGGCCAGAACTGGAATGCTGGAACAATGGATAAATATGGGCGCCTCGATCGAGAGCTGCAGCTAGCCAATTCCCACTTCATTGAGGAGCAGCAGGCACAGCAGCAGGTACGTACTCTCCAAGACAACTGGGGACAAGGAAAGGGGAGGCAGGATGGATCTCTTCCCTTAGTTTCCTGTCAGCTGTGGTGTTTTGCAGCTTACTGACAATCACCTTGGACTAGAGCTCTTCTTTGAGTAGACTGTGTACTATATAGTGACTGCATACATAAAGGATTTATAAAGCCTTAGAGTACCAACCACTATTTCAGGAGAATTGGCTTGATTATGAAAAGCAGATCAGACGTCCAAAAATGACACCCAAGTCTACTGACTTACAAAGAAAATCTCTTCCCCAGCCTGCACTTGTATGCTCAGGTTTTGTGGGGTTTTTTGGGTTTTTTTTTAATCTATAAAGGTACACTCAGGAAAAATTGTTTTCATTGAAATTACTTGTTATCATTTTATAAAAACAGTTGATTTGGGGGAAGGTGTAGGATAGAAGGAAAGTGAGGTTGAGTGTGTCTGTTACTGCTGTTGTTATTAATAAAAAGAAACTACTAAAATGTATCTGGGGACTTGAGGATATGGCCTTTTTTATACTATCGGTTCTTAAGTATTATTTCTTATGTACAGACATACCTCAGCGATATTACGAGTTTAGGTCCAGACCACCACAATAAAGCTACTGTTGCAATCAAGTAAATCCCATGCACTCTGCGGTAGATTACTAAGTGTGCAATAGCACTGTGAAAAAGTTTAAAATATTTAGAAAATTACCAAAATGTGACACAGAGACACAAAGTGAGGCCGTTCTGTTGGAAAAATTGCACCTATAGACTTGTTTGATGATGGGTTGCCACAAACCTTCAATTTGTAAAAAACGCAGTATCTGTGAAATGCAAGAAAATGATTTGTTCTTTTCCTTTCGTGTGTTTGCTTAGCCAGTTGTCTACTTTTTAAAGTCAAACTTTAAATAAAAAAAAATTTTTTTTTGAGGCCATGCTGGAGCTTCTCCAGTGCTCAGGTCACCAAATGTAAAAAAGATTTATGTTGTAATCAGCAAAGTACACTTGTGTCAAAAAATGTGAAGAGCATGCAACATAATTAAAAATCAGTATTTCTTGGTCGATCAGCAGTTGTCCTTGATATGACTTACTGCCCCGCCAAGACCTCCTCTAGTTTGTCTTGGAGGAAGGAGCTCTGCATGGTTTTCTGGCATCCCAAGACTTCTAAGCCAGGCAGCCTTGGTCCTGGCAACGGCATCTATTCCAAACATCCCATGTCTCATTGGTCATCTGCACATGTGCTTTTGGACATTGTGTGCTTTCTAATTGGACTTTGGCCAACCAGAATCAGTCTCTCTTGGTGGTTTCAAGCCCCGCTGACTATTCACAAGTTGGATCAGCAGGAGCTATCAGGAGCCTGACAACCCAGCCTTTTGAGCAGTGTGTTCTTGGAGGCGACGGTCTGGTCCTTTGATTTCTGGGCTTTGCTTCTGAATGTGAATTGTCCCAAGTTGGCAAAGAAGCTAGCAGCTGCTAGAGTGCTGGGCTTGGAACCAGGTAAGATGGATTTTAATTGCTTATTTCCCATTTCTTTGGCACCAGTTGATTGTGGAACAGCAGGATGAGCAGTTGGAGCTGGTCTCTGGCAGCATCGGGGTGCTGAAGAACATGTCCCAGCGCATTGGAGGGGAGCTGGAGGAACAGGCAGTGTGAGTATTGAGAGGCTCCTTTCACTGGAGTGAAATTGAGGGGAAAAGCCATTCTATGAGACCTGGAAAAAGCCCAACAATTACATGGTTAGTAAAACCAAAAGCTATTGTACGTACAAACCAAAACAGCACACCAAGCCCATTGCCGATGAGTTGATTCTGACTCATACAGCGACCCTGTAGAACAGAGTAGAATTGCAGCATAGGGTTTCCGAGGCTGAAATCTTTACAGAAGCAGGCTGCCATATCTTTCTCTGTGGAATGGCTGGTGGGTTTGAATGGCACCTTTATTTTGTATTACAGACTAGCTTTTCCGAAAGAAGCAAAGCTATCAGATAACATTTATAAGATTTAGGCAAAGTTATTGTTTTACTGTGCCTCCAAAACAGATGCAACTGTTCCCCAGGGTACATACTTAACAGTACACTTATGAATGGGATTGTGACACAAACAAGACTCTGTAATGTCTGGAGATGTTTGTCCTGAAGAGACTCGGATATTGCTAAAATGTGGCACCAACGCATTCTTCCCACAGCCTTCTCTGCTCATCTGGTTTCGTAATTCATTGCATTGGCCACACAGAACTCAGACACCATAGTCACAGTTGGGGAGTTTATTAGAGAAGTTAGCAGGTTACAATTCAGGGTCATAACTGTTCAGGGTACAGTTCTTCCAGTGAGGGTAGCCTCTCCTTAGCCCTGCCTATAGGCAGGCCTCTCCTTCACTGGCTTTAAGAACCATATGGGAACCATGTCTGACTTCCCCTGGCTTCAAAAGGGGGAAAGAGAATCATACTTAAAATCAGCCCAAGGCCAATTCCTATGAAGCTGAAGTTATATGTGCTTCCACCATACAACCTTTTTTACCCTATTCTTACATCAGCCATTCTTCCCAAAGCACATGCTGCTTCACATCTGGGTTCCATAATACATTGCAATGGCCACATAGAACTTAAAATGGTTCACACAATTATGGGGTATATTAGGGTAGGGAAGTGAACAAGGTACAGTTGAGGATCAAAACCAACTCAGGACACAGCAGTTCTCCTGTCTGGAACTCCACTTGTCTGTCATACTGTAGGCACGCCTCACTCTTGTTTTTGGCTTCTTAGCCATGTGGCCCCTTGGTCTCTGCCTTGCTCATGCATGTGTTACAGAGTTCTTTATCCAGTCTGTGAATGCCCACAGGGCACATTCTATGAGCCAGCCTTCTGCTCTCGGCTTTACTCAGTCCATAGGCCTAGAGCTGGAAGCTGTTCTGTCTCTCCATACTACCATCTCTCTACTGTTGTCTCATGCAGTTGCCTCTGTTTTTTAAAAAACTATTATTGTGAATTGAGTGACAGTTTACATCGCAGAATGTGTTTTTTATAAAGCTTTTATTGTGACTTCAGTGATAGTGTACATAGGAGAACATCAGTTTTGAACTCATCCTATTGTATTTTGTTTCATTGCAATGATTACAATTTCCTCCCTGCATCATCATTTAAACAATATTCCCTCTTTTCTTTTGTTTTCCTTGATGTATGACACAAAAACACTCAGGAATATAGAATCATTTAAACAACCCAAGGGCACATTCTGCAAGCCAGCCTCCTGGCCACCAGCACACAGCCTTTCTCTTTCCCTGAGTCTAGAGTCCTCAGCTGTTCAATCTCTCCATGCCATCACCTCTGCCTCCATCTCTAGTGTTGCTGCTGCTCTGGTTAGGATCTCATGTACTACTAATGCTCTTCTCTCTTGATGGTCCTAGTGTCCACTGTTTCTGGAATGTAAGATTAGCTACTCCCCCTTTCTGTTACACATCTTCTACCTTTACAGCTGTGACCATCACAATTAGTCATGATAACAATTACTTTTGAATCAAAAGAATCTTATCCCCATCTCCTTTCACCAGACCCATCTAGATAAGATGAAAACTATTCAGTGGGAATTCTACCTTCCTCTCTTTGCTCTAACACTAAATTCCCTCTTGAAAACTTATAAGCCAGCCACTTTGTGCCTTTATAGCCCCACCCCCACTCCCATTTTAGGTAGTCAGTGTCTACATGGCCCATCCCTATCAACCCTGTGTACTGAGGGGATAGGTTTTATCCTTGATGAGAAGACTCCTTCCCTCTCGGTTGGTATTTTGAGCTACTACATCCAGTTCATCTGTTTGAGCTACTAAGTAAAGGTCAAGTTCATCAAATTATAGCAATTTACACTTGCTTCCTGATTTCTTTATCGTCCTGTAGCCGAGTTATGGTCATCCAGCCATCCAAGCTAGGTCAGATGGGTACTATCAAGTTTGGGCATTCTTGTGTACCTCCCCCAACTTCATACCAGCTGGACCGTTTACTCTCAGCTCTAGTCAATGTCCTTGGGCCCAGGAGTTCCCAAGTCTCCCCAAACTTTCAGACCAGCCAGACCCTTCCTCTTCTCTCTCTTATCTATCTCAAGGTCGACAGGAGTCTATGGAACATGGTCAAACTCAGCCCATGTCTTCATTACTGCCTTTCCCCCACTTCCACTCACAAGTAGACCAATGCTGTCACCAGGAAGCTTACAAACCTGCTCATGTGTTCCCTTTGAGTTTCAGTCTTAGAGGGGGGTTTGTCCTAAAGGACCTTGATGGCTCATGCTCTGTTGCCTCTTGATGTCTCATGCTCTTCCTTCGTGATGGTCATGGGATCTTCCATCTCTGCTTCTGAGATGACTCCTTTTAAGTCTAGCTGGAGGGCAAAACTAACCAGTTCTAGCCTTTGAATCCTGTATACCTTATTTGCATGGTACCACCCAATCACTTGGTGGGAATTAGAAAGACTTTGGATAGAAAAGCCATATCCAATAAATTCAAGGCACCACACTAGCCAGAGTTTCAAAGCTCTCTTAAGGCTACTGTTAAATGCCCACAGAGCATACCACTCCACCATAAGCCTCAGCCTAAGACACACAGTTTTGTACCCACGGGTCGGCAGACCCACTGTCCAGAGTCACTCAGCTTTACTTGCTCTGTGGCTGAGAAGCTCACCTCTTTGTCTTCTGCTCTAGTTTTAGGTTCTGCTGCTGCTGCTCCTATGCCTTCCTTCAGTGTCATAGCTTTCTATCTCAGGGTTGAGGAGGTTCAATGCACAGGGATCTCTCCATCCAGAACTCCATTTCTGACTTTCCTTTGATGGTAATGAGATTCTGCTCCCACCCCTGCTGGTGGGTTTGAACTGCCAACCAAACTGACCTTGCCGTCCAGCACATTTCTTGCAGCATTACACCAATAGGCAGTTCAAACCCACCAGCCACTCCTTAGAAACTCTACACATGATCACTGTGAGTCAGAACTGATTCAGTGGCACTTAACAACATGGCTAGAAGAGACATTAAATAATTCACTGCACTGTAGTCATGAATTAATTTCATCATCCCATGACTTTCCTGCTGAATTGAACCAAACTTTTTATCCTAAGTCTTAACATTTAAGTTTATGAATACTGAAAAACCCAAACCCACTGCCATCGAGTGAATTCCAACTCACGGTAACCCTGTATGGGATTTCCAGACTAAATTTTTATGGGAGCAAACAGCCCCATCTTTCTCCCAGTGAGCAGCTGATGAATTTGAACTGCCAACCCTGTGGCTAGCAGCCCAACAACTAACCCACTTATTAGTTTAAGTCTAATTAATTAATAAAAATCCTTTCTCAAAAAAATAACTTGTCACACAAGAAAACCAAACTAACCTAGGTTTATTTGATCTTCCTTAGAATAATCATTTTGCTCTCATGACCCCAACAGCAACATCCTTAAATGTTCTCGCATATTTCTTCAAAAAAAAGGTCAATCAAGATAAATCAGAAGTTCCCCTACTATAATAATTTTGTGTTCTGTGTTACACATTCATTCATTCATATAAATAGTTAAATAGGCATCTGTTCTGCACCAAGCCTCCCATATGCCCTTGGGCGGGGGGTGTGGTTGGTTAATAGGAACAAACACAAGGGATACTACCTTTGCCATTCAGAGAAGTTTTGAGCAAAATGGTTTTCAAATAAATGAATACAAGCCATTAAGTGATAACAGAGAAGGGGAAGACTTCTGTATTGGGGAAGTCCAAGATGCTCAAGAGCTCAAACTTAGCCCAGGATCCCTGAGAAAGAAAAGCTTACTTAAGGCAGAAGTGAGGAGGAGAAGATAGCCAGGCAGGGGAATGCTGGGGAAGGGGCAGCCAGGTGGGAGGAGGTGATGAAGAGAAAATGAAGTAGGAAGGAGAAGCGTGTGTGAGATACAGAGTGAGAAATGGCATGGAACAGAAGAGGTTAATGTTCCTGGAGCATGCGGACTGAGCGAAAGTTGCACACTTTCGCTATAGGGAAGCAGAGAACATTTCAGGAAGGGCTTTGAACACCATTAAGGAGTTTGAACTTTTTATTCACATGGGGATGGGACATCAGTAGAGGCTGTGTTAGGTATAATGACATGTTCAGATTTGCATTTTTGAAAGACCTGCTTATCATTTAGATAATTTACTGAAATTGAGCAAGACTGGAAACAGGAAGACCAGACAGGAGGTTACTGCAGGAATTGAGGCATCTATAGTTCATTTCTATCTGAAGTGGGTTCTTCACCTAAAACCCCAGTTTGGGGACAGGAAGGGACCAATTGAGCTATTTTGTGGGTAGGACAGCCTGGTGATTAGTAGATAACAGAGCCTAAAATTGGTGGACTGAACATACCCCTTTATCTCCGTCCCCTCTCTAAACAAAGCCCACTAGTGATGTGGTGGATTACACATTGGACTACTAACCACAAGTCAGCAGTCTGAATCCACTAGCTGCTCTGTGGGACAAAGGTGAGGCTTTCTGTGCCCTTTAAGATTCACAGCCTGGGAAACCCTATACAGGGCTGCTGTGAGTTGAAACTGATACAGCAACAACTTATCAGTCAAGAATATTTTTTTAAAGGCATAAAACCTGTGGGGACATAGAGATGGAATAAGAAGTAGCAGACATACCATTTTAGAACCAGGAAAACACCAGAATAAGCATACTGGGACCAGTTGTCTTAGTGGGAAGAAAACGTGGTTTCTCTGTGAGTATAGATTAGGGAGGAGTAAAGCCATCAGGGGTTTAGTCCCAGGTTCTTTCAATTTTATAACAAAGTTATAAACATTGTTATAACTTTATGTGCTTTAAAGGAGAATATTTGATTAAAGCACATTTCTTTGTTGTTGTTGTTTTAAGTTAAAAATAAAGAGGTTTACTGATACTCTTTCATTCTTTTTTTTTTTAAAGGTTTTCATTGTGGATTGAGTAAAAGTTTACAGGGCAGATCATCAGTTTTACATTCAGCAAATCTTACACTTGTTTCATTACAACGATTATAATCCCCTCCATGTACCATCACTGTTTCTCTCTATTCACTTTAGCTTTTCTTTTTAAACACTCAGGCGTATACAATAATTTACACCACCAAAGGGCACATTCTGCAAGTCTGCCACCTGGCCACCATCTCTTAGTCCCTCACTTCCCACAAATCTAGAGTCCTTACCTGCTCCCTCTTTCCATGTCCCCATCTCTGCCTCCATCTCTGGTGTCGCTGCTTCTCTGTATAGGGTACCACATTCTGCTTGTGCTCTTCTCCCTTGATGGTCCTAGGGTCCTCTGTTTCTGAACAGTAAGATTAACTATGCCCCTGTTTTTGTTACAAAACTTCTACCTTTACAATTGTGACATTAGCAGTTAGTCATGATAACAATTATTCATTATTGAATCATAAGAATCTTATCCCCCCCATCTCTTTTAACCAGACCCTCTAGATAAGATAAAAACTATTCAGTGGAGACTCTTTCTTCCCCCACACACTATTAAACTAAGCTCCGCCTTGAAACCTTGTAAGCCAGTCACTTTGTACCTTTATCACCCCCTCATTTTAGGTAGCCAATGTCTTAAGTTGCCCATCCCTATCTACCCTGTGAACAGAGGGGATAGTATTGATACTTGATGTGAAGACTCCTTCCCTCTCTGTTGGTATTTAGAGTTACTACCTCCATGAGTATGGGTCAAGTTTATCAAATTGTAGCAATTTACCCTCGTTTCCTTGATCAAATTTGTTTTGTTCTTTTTATTATTATTATTATTATTATTTTATCTTCCTATAGTCAAATTCTGATTATCAAGCCATCAAGGCTAGGTCAAATGGGTACTATCTACAACTTTGGGTGTTCTTGTGCGACCCCTTTCACTTCATATCAGCTGGATGCTTCACTTTCAGCTCTAGCCCTCTGTGGCTGTGTCATTGTCCATGGGCTCAGGCGTCCCCAGGTCTCACCATCTCCAGGTCCACGGGCTGATACTCTTTCTTTAACAATGTTTACCTATATTTAGTTTTTTTTTCCCTCTCCCTCCCAACCCTCTATGTAAACATCTATGTAACCATCATAGAATGTTTCGTTTAGCAAGAAAATCTTTTCTTAACTATTTACAACAGTGGTCTCATGCAATATTTGGCCTTTTTGTGATTGACTAGTTTCACTTAGTATAATATCCTTCAGGTTCATCCATGTTGTGAGGTGTTTGTCAGATTCTTTATTGTTGTGTCATCCATTGTGTGTATGTACCAAAGTTTGTTTAACCATTCTTCCATTGATGGGCATGTAGACTGGATCCATGTTTATGCTGTTGTGACTAGTGCCGTAGTGAACATGGATGTGCATACATCTAGTTATGTCACAGCTCGTATTTCTTGAGGACATATACCAAGTAGAAGGAGTTACGTGTTTCTTAATTTATGAAAAGTGCTTTATGGATCTCTGTGAGTACCCTGTATGATCTTCTCGAGAACCCCAGGAGGGTTGAGAAGATTGTTCTCTCTTTACAGAGAAGGTAACTGTCCCAAGTAGCAGTAGCTAGTTCAAGGAAGCCAGTAAACAAGTAGCAAAGCCTGGTCATCTGACTTCAGAGAGCCTTCTTTCTGTAGTGCTGCATTGACATGGAACTTAGATTATTGCATAGTCAGTACCATACTTCCTCGTCCACAGTTCTGAAGTCTGGAGAACTGTAATCCAGAGTTTATTTTCAGTTTGCAGCAAGCTCTTGTTCCAGGAAAAAAACTGATAGCAACTATAATTTCTCGTTGTTTTCTCTGCAGAAATATTAATGTGTTTTATTAAGGGGGCTGCGCCAAGCCTTGCTAGTGATTTGGATAATACACAGTGTTTATAGCACTGTTTTTTTAAATCTTCCAAATGCTGAAATTGAAAACATTTTCTCCTAGCCGCAAGAAGTTGAGGCTAGAATCCCAGTGTTGCCTGCGTTATGTTTGCTAAAACAGGTTTAGGCCCTGATTTAATTCCACAGCCAGTGGGTTGATGAGGCTTTTGTGCACGCCTTCTGTCTTATATGTCTGTGTCTCTTTCTAGCATGCTGGATGATTTCTCTCACGAGTTAGAGAGCACTCAGTCTCGGCTGGACAATGTGATGAAGAAACTTGCAAAAGTGTCTCATATGACCAGTGGTATGTATGCATGATATTTAAAGCCTAAGAAACTACCTTAATTTTACAAATTCTGTCTCAAATGTGTCCATTCCTGTAGATGATTTTTTTGCAATGCTTTAGGGTCAGGAGATGGAAGACTAATATGTACAGACTGTATCTTCTACTGGTAGCTTTAGCTGGGAAAGGTCTTGGCAAAGAAGAACACTCACTTTCACAAGATTTTTCCCTGCCACCATGCAGGCTGATGTGGGCTGGCGGGGCTTTTTCCAGTGGAGTAACTTTCTGTGCAATTACAAACTCTTTTTTTATGATTACTTTTCCTGTTTTGTTGCCAAAATAGGGCACTTAAAACAATAATGAAGAAGTCAGGTATTGTTTCTCCTGAACTGACTTCATGTTGCTAAAAGAGAAACTCCTACTATTTCTAAATAAGATGGTCTGCAGATCTAATTTAAACTGTTCTATTAAAATCTAGTGTGAAATATCCCAACAAACTGGTTCCATGATGGCAATGAAGAGGTCACACTTTTCTAGTTACTCTAGAAAGATGTGTTCCCCAAAGTTCACATTTTTGGATTATTAAAACCCTCTCCCTAACTCATACTATATGAGAAGTATTATAATTGAGTCAATGAAAATTCCATCTCTCCTTCTTTCTTTATTTGTTGGGGTGAGTTGGTGGAGGGAAGAATTGAACCACATGAGTACTTTCCCCCACCTGCTGAATTAGTTTTCCTGCATTTTGCCCTTTATTCTCTTGGTCTCCTCCTGTCAGGTACTTATTATAGAGCTCCTAATAGTTCCGGTTTTGGGGGCAAAATTTAAATTCTATGTGCATTTGATTTTTAGCTGTTTAATTCATTGACAAGTTACATAACAATACCCTAGGGCTTAGTTTCTTATCTATAAAAATTGGGTAATGTCTACCGTTTAAGGTCACTTTGATGATTAAATGAAATAATTAACCTAAAAATGTTTAGCAGTATCTACCAAGTGTTACCCACTACCCACTGCTGTGGGGTTGGTTCTGACTCATAGCAATCCTGTATAGGGTTTCTGAGACTGTAAATCTTTATGGGAGCAAAAAACCTTATCTTTTCATGCACAGAGCCGCTGGTGGGTTTGAACTGCCGATCTTGTGGTTTCTGGTAGTAAATGTTTATATATATATATATATATATATACATAATTATATATGTAGTATATAAATGTATGTATAGTAAGGCAGGTAGCAGATGGCCCTAAGGAGCAAAGGGCATGTTATATGCAAAGTAAAGGGAAATTCAAAGCTTGAGTTATTTCCTTCTCCCTTTCCACACACAAGTATCTTTAAGCTTCTAGCAGGCTCTTCGTTGCCTGAAGAGAGGCATATATGACATACATTCATCTTTCACACACTTGAGAGGTTTGCAAAGTCTTCTTTCTGAGTTCCTCTGTTCTTCCCTCTTCAACACTCACCACTCTGCTGTAAACAAAGTTTTAATGGTGCATTATACTCATAACCATTTAAACACCAGGCCTCTCACTTGTGTATGTACTAGCCACAAAGTCAAGTAGCTACTTCAGCACCAGTTTTGTTTGGGAAAGAGTAAATGAACAAAGATGCACTGTGTCTTTGTTTCTCTGCAGACTGGGTATGAATAATTTAGAAAAGTGCTTGCATTGTGATAAGCGGTTCAGTGTATATAAATAGCACTGAGTCTGGCTATGCTTTATTCTGCTTTCTCTCAGAAGAAAAGTGTGGTGAGCAAAACAAGAACTTTGCTTGTATTTGTATAAGGAAGAGAGCCAGAAAACAGAATTTAGCCTGAAAGGCCCTTCACTTTTGACAGTGTAAAAATGGGGGTATCTGACCTTGTCTAATTTCACAAGGGGGAAAGAGAGAATCACCATCAGCATTAGCCCAAGACTGATTCCTTTGAAGCTGAGGACAGACATACCTCTTCTCTCCAACCTTATTACCAGTTCTAACACCAGCTGTCCCTCCCACGGCACTCTACTTCTCTGCTGGGATTGATCATTTGTTGCAGTGTCCATACAGAACTTAGAGACAGTACTTACGGTTATGGGATTTATTAGGGAAGTAACAGGGTACAATTCAGGATCAGGAACAACTCAGGATATAGTTCTTCTGTGAGGACAGCTGCTCAGCTGTGTTCACAGGCAGGCCTCTCTGTCTCCCTCTTTGCTCTTGGTCTTCAGACCTGCTTGGGCAAGTGTTACAAAGCTTGTTAGCTCTACCATTAAATGCCCAGAGGCACCCCACTCTACCAGTAGACCTCTGCCAGAAGGTGCTCACCTCTCACTCTGCGGGTTGGCAAGCCTACCTCCACCAAGTACCTGGAAGCACCTCACTCAACCAGCAAGCTGTATTTCTGCCCAAAGGTGCTCAGCTTCCTGTGGTCCAGGACCCCGACTGCACTGCCTTGTGCTGTTCTCCAAGGTCTGCTGCCGCTGCTTATCTTTTACCACTTCTTGCTGTCTCATGTTGTATTCAGCATTACTGTTATTTTTATGGCTCCTGGGTCTAAGAGGGACCCTGGGTCCAAAGGATGCACTTGGTTCCAGTCTCCTCCTCTTGGTGGTAGTAGTCCCCACTTTCTGCTTCTAGGATGGCTCATTTTAAGCCTGTCAGGGTGGTAGAACTACCAGTCCCCTCATTTGGGTACCATACACCGTAGTCATTCAGAGGGAGTTACAAGACTATGACTAGAAAGGCCGTAGAAAGAGATCCATCACACCACTAACAGCTTTCCTGTGGTTTTCATTGTAATCTTTGTCTGCTATTGAAAGAAACTGCTTACAAATCTCCTGTATGGTAGTGTCTTCTACAGTTTGACAACCAGGCAATTTGTATGTGCCTCTGTTCTCCATAACCTTTTGGAATACACACTGCCACTTAATGAAACGTCATATAGAGAAAACACAAGATCCACTAACGCTTGATGAAGCGGTAACCAAGCGTGTGTGAGCCACAGTTCTCAAGAGGCTCACATCTCCCCTCCCCACAGCCATCTGCTTCATGGAGAAAGATCAGCACAACTGCAATGGTACTTTTTTTTTTTAAGTTTTTTTATTGTGGATTGAGTGAAGGTTTATAAGGCAGATTATCAGTTATATTCAACAAATCATGCTTCGTTTCATTGCAGTGATTACAATCCCCTCCATGTACTGTCATTTAACAACGTTGTTGTTAAGTACTATGGAGTCAGTCCTGACTCATAGTGACACCCTGTACAGGGTTTCCAAGGCTGTAAATCTTTACGGGAGCAGAAAGCCTCATCTTTCTACTGCGGAACGGCTGGTAGTTCTCAACTGCTGATTTTGAGGTTAGCAGCCGGATTTGTAACCACAATATTTGCCTCTATTCCCCCCTCTTTTTGATGTACACATACAAAACAAAAAATATATATTCATTTAAATGTCCAAAGGGCACATTTTTTAAGCCAGACTCCTGCCCACAGAAACATAGCCTTTCTCAGTCCATGGGCCTAGAGCCCTCAACTGCTGTATCTATCTGCCACCATCTCTGCCACCATCTCTTCTGCTTTTCTGGGTAGAATCTCATGCTCCATTCATGCTCTTTTTGATGGTCCTGGGATCCTCTGTTCCTGAAATGAAAGATTAACTACTCTCCACTAACGGCTACACATCTTCTACATTGACAGTTGTGACAATCACAATTAGCCTTAATAACAGTTATTCACAGTTGAATCATAATGAAATCCTATCACCATCCCCTTTCAATAGATCCATGTGGAAAAGAGGAAAACTAATTCAGTGGGGATTCTGCCTTACTCCCCCCCATTCTGAAACTAAGCACATTCATGAAAGCTTGTAAGCTAGCCACTTTGTGCCTTTATAGCCCCCCATGTTTGATAGCCAATGGCTAAGTTTCCCATCCCTGTTAGCCCAGTGTACTGAGGAGACAAGCTTGATCCTTGATATGAAGACTCCTCTTTCAGTTGGAATCTGGAGCAACTACATCCATAAGCAAAGATCAAGTTCATCAAATTGTAGCAATTTGCATTTGCTCCCTGTATCAAACTTCTTTATCTTCATCTGGTTGAGTTCTTGTCAGCTAGACATCCAAGCTAGGTCAAATGGGTACTGTCTTCAAGTTTGGGAGTTCTTGCACCCTTCCCCCCACTTGCGACCAGCTGGCAACTTCACTCTCAGCTCTATCCCCAAGTGGCTAGAAGTGTGTCCATGGGCTTGGGAATTCTCACATCTTCCTAAGCTTCAGACCAAACCAGCCCTCCTCTTCTCTCTCTCATCTCAAAGTCAGCGGATGTCAATGAAACATGACCAAACTCATCCCATGTCTTCATTGTTGCATTTCCCCCACTTCCACTCACAAGTAGTCTAGTGTGGTCACCAGCGAGCATACACTGCTTGTGGGTTCCCTTTGAGTTTCAGTCTTAGAAAGGGTTTTCCCTGATGGGTTGACTTTTCTTGTGATGATAGCTCCAAAGCAAACAGCTTGCTTGATATTCTAATAGCCAAAGAGTCCAAATGCACTTTTTTGAATGACTCAAGAGAGAACGTAACCTCTGTTCATTCTCCTCCCCAGAGAAAGTATTCTTTTGAGCCAATAATGTGACTTTTTCCTCTCACTTTCCAAAATTCTGCTGCTCATCTTTTCTCTTTAGTTCAGGAAAATACATTAGAAGGGAAAGAAGCAAAGAATCATTGAGGTTGCATTTGCTTCTCTCTGACTTTTTTTTTTTTTTTTTTAACTTTTATTGTATCTTGAGTGAAGGTTTACAGACCAGATCATCAGCTTTACGTTCAACAAATCATAAACTTTTTGCATCAGCTCAATGATAACAATCCCTTCCATGGAACAAGAGTCATCCCAATTCCTCCTTTGTGGTTCCCACTTGCATTCCACCCCTCTTCCTATCCCATTTCAACTTTGTCCTTAGGAAAATGTTGCCTTTTTGATCCTGAATGATTGGGCACTCCATGGTGAAGGTGTGTTCCTGTCCAGCACTGAAGGCTGCTCAAGGACCATCGTCTCAGCTTGCTCCAGCCTCTTTCTGACCAGTAAGCCTGGTCTTTAAAAAAAAAAAAAAAATTTAATGAAATAATTTTGAGCTTTGTGTGCATTATTTTTAACATGTTGATATATTATTTTTAACTAAAGTCCGTGGTTTTCATTGGAGTTCACAGCACCCGAAGCACTGGGCATTATCCTGTCTTCACGTTTTTTAGAACGTTTTTCATATTCTTGATTTCATTTTCATGGAAATTGGGACTCAGCTAAAACAGCTTCCCAAACTCATCATCCACCTATAACCATCAAGTCGAATCCAATTTATAGACCTATAGACAGATGAGTCCTGGTGTGGCGCTGTAAGATAAGCACTGGACTGTAAGGTCGGTTGGAAGCACAAGGTTGGTGGTTCAAACTCACCAGCCGCTCCTCAGAAACCCTATAAGACAGGGTCTCTATGAGTCAGAACCAACTCAACAGCACTTAACAACAGCAACAATAGATGGAGTACTTTTAATATTCTTCCCCAAAACCATAACTCAAATGCACCAACTCTCCTATCTACCTTATTTACTCACTGTCCAGCTTTCATGAGCATATGAGGCAATTGAAAACACCATGGCTTGGGTCAGGCTTCTCTCTGACTTTTTGAGGCAGATCCTGAGCTTGAAAACTGGTTAAAACTTTTCACCTGAGGTGGTAGATGCTCTTGCGGCTAGTCCCCACTCCTCAGTTTAACCTTTGTAAGAAATGCAAGGAGACGTGTGCTAGGGAAACAGATCCCTGAGGCTGTCTGGTTCATGCTTCTAGAAGAAACTTCCCACTTCAAAGGAAAATGGTTTTAAAAGAGCATTCCTGGATTGTGCTGGCTTGTGTGAAGCCTGTTTCTCCTGGATGAAAACCTGCGTGTAAAACCTCTTTGTAGAAGAAAAAGTGAGTGGGCGGAGGCAGAAGAGAGAGGGAGGGCGAGGCTGAGGCACAGCTAGCTCAATGTCAGGAGAAGTGGAAGTGTGTGGGGGCGAACCATTGCCTTACCTGTTTCTGTCCTGCAAGAGCACCAGCTCATAACTTTAATGAGAGTGGTTTTTAAATGATTCTAAGTATTTCTAAATGGATGACACTGAATGCTAGATCCTAAGCTTATTTGGCCATTAAAGTGATAGTTAAACGTATTAGAATGCCAACTCTGCCTCCCTTGGCCTTTGGAATTGCTGTACTGTTTGTGTGACACTAGTCAGACGTCACATAGAAGGTACAGACAGGCTTGGGGTCTTTGCCCTGGTCACACAGTTACTAGGCTAGCTTCTCACATGTCTGAGATTGAGCAAGGTGATTACCGTGAGAGGACACTCACTCTACTTACTGTAACTTAGGGTCCATTCTCTTGGCCAGTTCTAAGGCTTTGATCCCTGTGACTGTTAAAATAATTTTAAGTACATGTTTATCCAATGAGCATTGTTTTGTGGATATTGTTAAACTCTGCTTTCCTAGATGCAAACTTTTAAATTATGCGTTTCTCAGTGGTAGTGTGGTCTTAAAATCTGCAGGCTTTCAGAAGAACTGTTAATTGAAGGATTTGTGTGTTTATATGTCAGTTCCTGTAGGATTTATTCCTAGTGTTAGTCTGAAGGGTCATAGAAACTCTCTTCTATCATTCTGACCCTGTGTGGGAAATGCCAGGATAGTCTGTGGAAAGCCTGCCATTCTTTCTACATCTCCCCAAACTGAAGAAGTCTCTGATGATGACCTGCACCTCAGGCCTGGGCACCAGGCTCTATGTGTGACTATGTTTATGTTTAATCTCCCATCAGCCCCAAGACACTGCTGCGGTAGGGCTAGAGGATCAGTCAGGAGTTTGTGTGGAGCTGGGAGGCCACTGGGACCACCTGGGCCCATCCCCCCCACAGGCCACCCTGCTCTCAGCCTTGTGGACAGACTCACCGTGCCTTCCGCACCTCTCCTAAGCTACTGTTAGAGCAAGATGTTCCAAAAAGACAATCCATGTTAAAGTACTCTTACCCCTTTCTTGACTGGGTGTATTGTAAAATTAATCACCCTTGCTTTTCAGCTGTTCGTTTCCTCTCTTCTCCAGCCTCCCATAGTTTTCATTCTGAAAAGAACGCACTGAATTGATGATTTTACTTTGGGTACGGAAGAAAAGCAGACAGACTTTGATCTGGAATACTAGTGTCAACACCTTTTCTAGGGACTCAGTAACCACTAGAGAGCTAAGATCCTCAGATTTTAATTAAAGACTTAAGATGCAAAGCACGTATTTACTAAGAGGCAAATGTTGAGGGACTGGCCAGGCCGTGAACACACATAAAGTGCAGGCCAGGAGCAGAGCTGTGTGACAATAGCAGGCACCTCCCCATCATTCGCATTGTTTTCAGTCCAGTGGAACTACCTTAGGGAATGCAGGCTCCTTGGGTTCACTCTGCCCCTCTCTCCAAGCGTGCTAGCTAACCCTCCTGTCCTACCTTGCAGACCGGCGCCAGTGGTGTGCCATCGCCATCCTCTTTGCCATCCTGCTGGTTGTGCTGGTCCTCTTCTTCGTGCTGTGATGGGGCCCTCAGGTGCGAATTTCTCCTGCACAAGGACCGAGGGAATGAGCACGCACCATGCGGCCGTCTGTTCACACTCCTCTTGTCCGTACACACCAACCACTGCACTGACGGTTCTCTGTGGCTCCACAGTTGACACGGCTCCTCCACCCCAGCTACCAGGAAGGACTCGTGGGAAGAGGGCATGAGGCCTGCACAATGCCGGCGCTGGCTCCATGACAGAACCCCACACCACCTGCCCTGCTCCAGTGACAACTGGTCATGCTTTGCCTCCCTGGACCTTACTCCCTGTGGAGGGATCTGAGTGACTCAGAAAAACCACTGAATAGGTGTGCAATTTGCTATTATTGCCCATTCCATCTGTCTTTGGCAGCTCCTTCCTCTGCTCACTCCCTTCCTGCCACTCAGACTGCACCTCTGTCCTGTTAAAGAGACATCGGTGGTGAATGTGGATTCCGGGTGCCTCATTTCCCACTGTTGTAGCGTCTTAGTCCCTGAGGGCTGAGTATTAATGAGGGCAGAAGGCTCAGAGCAGTTTGCGACAGAAAACAGTGATAGACTTTTCAGGGATAAGTGCTGGGATGAAATCGCTTTTCCCAGACACTTTGCGGGGGTGGGGGTGGGGGCAGTACATGGATAAATAATGGGAAATAATGAAAAGCACTGGTTTGGGGGTGCTAACAACTTGTGGCTTTAATAAATGGGAAGAAAGAGGAGCAAGAGCCTGAGTTTGCACACCTTGGGAAGGGTTGATGATACCACTAGAGGTCAGAGCCAGGGCCTTGCTGATTCCCTGTTACTGCCCTAGGACGTCTTCCCAGAGGTGCAACGTGACCTTTTAGGATGACCCTTTAATACATGGTTGCTGAGCCACTCCACAGCACACTTGAATGAATTAGGATACTGGATTATCCTCACTGACCACCATTTTATTCCTGTGACTTCCTACACTGGGTGGGAGCATTTACTTAGAAACTATCATGACAAAAGGCTGGTTCTGGACTGGACTTTTCTTTTCCTGTGAGTAATGGTGAGGATGGGTGGGCAAGCTTGGTTCTCTTTTTCCCTTAAGATGACAACTCATTGTTATCACCCATTCAAATAGCTGAGCCAAACCAAATATAACTGGCGAAAGCTTGGATGGAGTTTAAGTAGCTAAAACTACTGAGACACTAACCTTCAAGCTTCGGAGTGGTTTTTTTTTTTTTAATGCCTCAAACATGCTGTGGATACAGGATATCTTTATACCTCTCCTCATGAAGAGGCCAGCAGCTGCTGAACCCCAGTTGAAGCCAGAACTTGAGTGGAAACTGCAAGTATCTTTCTCACCACCCTCTCTTGCCCTTCAAAAGAATAGAACCATCCACAGAGAGCTGAAATAATTTCCTTTCCTCATCTTTTTGGGTGCATTCCTCAGCATGCTTTGTTTTCTTTCTTTCTTTTTCTTGGTCTGCTTGTATTTTGTGTATGTTTGTTTCATTTTTTTATTTTTTATTTTTTGTGATTTGCAATGATGTGCTTGCTCCGCTAACTTCTGAATCGCACTTTTTAATAAATATTTGTAACAATTTTTTAAGAAGGCTCTTTTCTCCTATTTAGGATCATGCTAGGTAAGGCAATCTTGTTGATGAAAGTTAAAAGCAAATCTATAAAGCTACAGGAGTGATTAACATTCATGTTTATATGCAATTCCACTTGGTAACTAAGAAATTACCTTTTTAAAAAAGTGATGATTACAAATGGCTTCAGAGATATGTTGTTGTTGTTAAGTGCCGTCAAGTCGATTCCGACCCATAGTGACCCTGTATAGGGTTTCCAAAGAGCAGCTGGTAAGCTTGAACCACCAACCTTGCAGTTCAAACGACTTTGCAGTTTGGCACATTAGCCCACAGCGCCACACCAGGACTCAGAGATAGAGGGTACTAGATTATGTATGTTTTATAAAAGTTTTTAAGACTTACTCAGATTGTCTTCCATAATCTTAGATTTGCATTAAAATGAAGAAAGCTTTAAAAATACATGTGGATCTCATTTCAGTACTGTTATCTGCACATCTACACTGTCTTCATAACAGAATACAAGTGACACCTTAAAGAAGTCTCTGATTGCCTTGGTTAAAAGCCATGCTGTTCCCAGCTATACCATGCCATGCAAAAATAGCATGTGTGTCAGTAGGTACGTGCCTGGTCATCAGTGAGTAAGATATTCTCATTAGGTCAGGGACTAAGCTTTGTGGTTCTAAAGGCTTAATTTCTAAATTCTTGGATGTACTTGGAATTAGCATGCTGACCTCACTGATTGAAGGTATTGGCTAAACGGTGGCTATTGGAGACCATACTCAGGTTGTAATCAAATAGAGGAACTCTTTGGAAAGGAAAGGTTTATTACTTACTGTGTAGGATGACTGATCTCTTCGGCCTCTAAGGAGCTGTTTGTTCTCTGATATTGCTGTAAAGTGCCGTCGAGTCAGTTCCGACTTAGCGACTCTGTGTAGGATTTCTGAGGAGTGGCTGGTGGGTTTGAACTGCTGATGTTGCAGTTATCAGTCCAGTGCTTATCCTACAGCACCACACCAGGACTCCCTGTTCTCTAATGGTCGTGGGGGATTGAGTACCAAGGAGTTGGTTCTGACTCATAGTGACCCTGTATTTTTTGAGGCTGTACATTTTTATGGGAGCAGAAAACCTCATCTTTCTCCCTCGGAGTGACTGGTAGATGCGAACTACTGACCTCGTGGTTAGCAGCCCAGCTTGTAATCCACTAAGATATCAGGGCTTCTTCGTTCTCTGATGTTGTTATTGTTGTTAAGTGCCATCGAATCAGTTCTGATTCATAGCAACCCTGTCCAGGGTTTTCGAGGAGTGGCTGGTGGGTTTGACTGCCAGCCTCATGGTTCAAACTGACCTTGCTGTCCAGTGCATTCTCCTGCAGCGTCACTCCAGGCCCCTCAATTGATTCATTAAAGCTAGCTTTTCCTCAGGAGAACCTCTAGCCAAACTGACTTGGCCTGCGTCTGATCCTGTTGTTCCCTGATGGGGCAGTCATGGCAGAGTACATGGGAACCTGAAGGTCCCCTATGCAGACTTCAACCATGGCAGTCAGAGAACAGGCCAGAACATGTATTTTCCTCATTAGTGATTCTAATGTTTTCTGGCTTCAGAGGGACCCCAAGTGATTCCTTCTGCTTTCTCCTTTGCCCTGTGTTGTAAAGTGGGGAGATGAAGCAGCAGTGACACCCTAACACCACATAGAAACACATCCTCATAGCTGCTGGGGTTTTCTACAGCCTTCTGTACCTAGTCCCATAATCAGTATTCCTAAAGAACTGGCATAATGTGATCACAGAGAAAGAGGTTGATGTATGTTTACTGGAAGAACATTTTATCAGCTGATCTGGGGAAGATGGTGAGTGAAGCACTGAGGGTTTCCAGAGTGTGACTTCAACTGGAAAACAGAAATGCTTTTCATTTTCAATCCTAAGTTTTGGTCAGGTCTTGTATAGGCTGTGAAAGATCCCAGTGGGATGGCCGGTCCTGCGCGGCATTGGGAGTGGCAATGTGTGTATGTAACGTGGGTCTTCCACAGTTTCAGAATTTGTGCCTGAGCCGAAGGCAGAGAGACTTGGTGGCTTGCCCACCATTCTCTGCGTTGAGCCAGAGTTAAACAGACTGATGGGTCTGGTAGCCAACCACTTGGCAACTCCTACTTCTTCTCACCTCGTGAGATTAAGGACTGTGAAAAGAAATCTAGTCTAACTCCAACAGAAATCTGTCTCTCTTAAGTATTTTACCTTCTGTAAGGAAAGGTGGTAGAGCCAAGATTTTTCTCTTGGTGATTTCCCTGGCTAGAAAATGAGGCCAAAGGGACGTTATTCCCAGTTACCTTTTTTAGAGAATTTGTAGCATTTGAAGATGTAAAAATTGAATGATAAATATAAGTTTCTTACCAGTTCTGTAGACTTTATATAATTTGGCTTCACCTTGTACCACAGGGTGAATGTGTAAGCAAAATTTGGACTGTCTGGAGTGAACATTTAAAAATATGGAATGTCCTACTAATTCTCTCCTTCTGTGCCTTCTTCCTCTCTGGCATTTCTCTCTTCCCAGTTTTTTAAGGATGATAATTAACATGGTAGCGTGGTGGTTACGAGTCGTCCTTCTAACCTTAAGGTCAGCAGTTCGAAACTACCAGTGGTTCCATGAGAGAAAGATGAGGCTTTCTGCTCCCGTAAAGATTTACAGGTTCGGAAACCCAACACAGGGTCGCTATGGGTTGAAACCGACTCGACAGCACTTAACAACAACAAAAATTAACACGACTGCTCTTTGGCCATCATACAGAGTGGGAAGGTGAAACAAAGGGTTCCCAGACGTACAGTACCGGGGTCACCAACCTGACCACGTTCAGGCTCTGAAGACACTGAAAGGTCTGGTGAGGTAGCCAGAGTCCCTGCCCAGCTTCTCCCAGGGCCCTTGCTTCAGTTCACTGGTGACTTGAAGTAGACTGCTTCCGTAAAGACTACAGCCTTGGAAACCCTATGCGGAAGTTCTGCTCTGTCCTTTAGAGTTGTCTTGAGTCAGAGTTGACAGCAGCGGGTTAGTGTAAAGCCTGTTGTATGTAAACATGGATATTGCTCTTACCTGGCTTACTTAATAATGTAAACTGTACACTCTGGGGCTGGAGACAGAAAACCAAGAGAGTTTTGATTAGCACAAGAGTCTTGGGCAGCACTTCTATGGAGTGCTCGCTGTGCCAGGCCTGGTGCCGGGTAACCCTGGACAATAATGTGCCTCCAAAAGAGATGACTTTCAAGTCATGCCCTAAAATGGTAGCTCAGAGGCACTTGACATCATTTAGCTCAGCTCTCCTGCTCTGGAGATGCAACAGTGACAGCTCCCTTCAGCCTCCATGAAAGTCACTGGATGTATTGCTTTCTGCACCTGGCCATTGGGAACCCGTGCACTCTCTGAGACAAGCCCAAGGCATTTAAAGCTGACATA